ACCTATATTTATAGGGAACATGGCCGAACACAGTTCACGGTCGTATCGGGTTTACGACCGTAAACACACCTACCTAGCCGTAAACACATAAAATATTACATAAAAATACAATTTGCTAGAAAAGTAAAGTATAAACCATATTTTTGACCCACCAAAAACCCTAAATGTGACCTCCTTGAGACCTTTGGCCATTGTTGGTGACCTTGAAGAGCTTATTTGGTGGTTTTTGGTCCTTTGAAGTGGAAGAGGACTCTTGTGGTGCTTCATTTTGGCAATCTAGCTTCTACCTCTTGGTCTTACTGAGCTTTCGGACCTCTGTAAGTCATAAAGCTCCTACCTTTTTGCATCTTGAATGCTAGATCTAGGTTTTGATAGCTTTCTTTGCATGTATGGGTTGTGTAGCATGCATGGGATCCATAAACTTGACAACTTTATGAATCATTGATACATCTTCTGTATATATGAGGCTTTGGATATGAGTTTTGGTGTTGGTTTTAGACTCCAAACATGAATCTTGATCTTATTACCTTTCTTTTGACCTAGTTAGTATCTAAGCCATGCATTGGACATGCATGACTGAAAATCTATGATTTTTATAGTCATTAGGGTCGAGGAAGGTCCTCTGGAAGGTCCCAATGAATATATTAAAGGATTATTATTCATTTAAAAAAATATGTAAATCATCAAAATCAATTATTTTTATTTAAAAAAAAGTGAAGAAAGCTTCCCACATACACCTTGACTTTTGGTGAGGGAAAGAAAAATAAAGAAAATGATGATGTGACAGACAAAAAATTAGAGAAGCTTCCCACACACCTTTGGATCTAAGTGGGGGGCAATGCATCCCACCAAAAGTGGTATGAATGTAGTAATTTAAAAGTACTTTCATTGAAGAAAGTTATTGAAATTCTTAATTATCATAATTTTCCGGTTGATCGCAAACAAAGGAAAAAACCATCATAACGATCATACCCGATCATACCCTTAATATGGCACTCAAAGCTATGATTAAAGGATAAAAAAAATGACCATATTTCCAAAGATTAACACCTATTATGCATCTAGACAGTTTCAAGATTCCAAAAAAAATGTCACAACAAAAGACACTTAAACAAAGTTATTTTATTTAAATGATATTTTTTCTTTATGTGGATGAAACTTTTAATATGAACATGGATAGAACGCAAAGGATGAAAAATGCTATTTTGAGTATTTTCTATAGAATTTTCATGATAGTGTATTATTTGTCAATTACAATTGCATTTATAATAGCTTTTAAATTAAACATAGTTTTTTATTTACAATAGTTCTATACAAAGTAATTCAGTAAGAAAAAAGTTATTGTAGCATTTTCCAGTCAAATATAATTATCTACATAGCACCTGATGAAAAAGTGAGTAATATTTTAAGAGATATATAAAGATGGTGGTTGAAGGATCTAGTAATAGAGTTGTTCTTTTAAGATTTGTGGGTATTTTGGACAATTTAAAGCCCGAAGACGACAAGAATTTGTCATTGCTCTTGGAGAAGAATGTGCACTTGATTAATAGTAGGATCTTCATGTAAGATCTAATATGTAATAGAATTTTTTTCGTTTAAAATTAAAAGCTAAAATCTGTTGAATAAGCTTTTGATTTAAAGAGTTTTTGTTTAATAACTAAAAACTTCTATCGGAGTGCCGAACGATTTTAAGTTTTTTGTAAATGATTATCTTGTAAATCTCATTTTAGGTACACCACACCAAGTCGCCAACCATGTGAAAGTTACGCTCAAATCTCAATATAGTTTTTCTTGATTGATTTGACACCTTTGGGCCTTCAAAATGGGCCTCTAAAGTCTAAAGACACATTTTTTTATTTAGTTAACAAACATTTCAATGACGATAAAATCAACCATGATTGATGCTTGGTACCACGACCATTAAAAAAAGACGCAAATTACAAAAAACAAATCTTGCGACACCGTATTTTTCAGATAGTTAACTTCATTTAATAAATATTGATTATGGAAGCCTTAAATCATGATTAGCAAAATCAGTTAGATGGAGATGGAGCGAGTGTCCAGATCAACTCCATTCATAACCATAACCTGCTGCTGCTTACTGCTAAACCCTCTTACATATGCTGCCTTTTTAGCAGTATACAAAACACCATCCCAACAATGTAAGTAAGTAGAATTACACTTCTCCCCAAATCAAGCTATATTCTCGTCTATGTCATTTTAATGGTGTAAAGGTTGCAGGGACAGGGACAGGGACAGGGACGCCATGGTTTTCAAAATCTCCAGAAAACAGAGGACAAGATGATTCTCTAAAGTTTCTTTTGGAGAGACTTGTTACAGGTAATCCTTCCCTTCCCTTCACCTTTTCTTTTCTCTTCTTCATTCAACAATCAACTCGGATTTGTCTGGGTTTGCAGGGGGCGATCGAGCGAGTGGCTTTGCGTGTGATGTTGCACCTCATTTAGTTGTTTGCGTGTCAAATCAGCAAGTTAAAATTGAAACTATGAATTTGAAAGTTCATGTTCCGATTTCATCCTATAATCAAACCGAGACCATGGTCCAACCGTATGCAAGGCAAGAAGATAAAGCTCTTATGAAATGGATAACACCTGTTCATGTACTTTTACAGAAGATGAAAACTACAACACCTGTAAATTGTAATTATACCCACAACGTCCCTATTATCGTATTCTCATCTGGCCTAAATGTAAATCTATTCCATGAAATCAGCGAAATCGTGATCCCACTTTTCATCACAGCTCGCCATTTTGGATCTAGTGTACATTTAATGGTTACCGATTACCAACCTTGGTTTGCCCAAAAATATAGCCGTATTCTCACGCGATTGTCTCGTTATCAAGTTATAGATACCACTTCGAATGCAAGTGATCACTGTTTTCCAGGAGCAGTGGTTGGGCTGAAATATCATGGGAATCTCTCTTTGAATCCTGATTCCATTCCAGGAGGCCACACCATGCTAGAATTCAAGGAGTTTCTCAGAGAAACATATAGTCTGAAGATCAAAAACGCAAAAGAGATAGACAAGCCGACCTTGCTCCTCGTTTCCAGAAAGAAGTCAAGACCGTTTGAAAATGAAGATGAGATGGTTGGAATGATGGAATAGATTGGGTTCCAAGTGGTGGTTATCACAAAGACGAAAGAGATGATGGATTTGGATGAGTTTTCGAAGGTGGTGAATTCCTGCAATGTTATGGTTGGTGCACATGGTGCCGGCCTAACAAACATGGTTTTCTTACCTCAAGGGGTGGTGTTTGTCCTGTAATGCTCTGTTCCGCCTTGACTCATAGTCTGAGGCGGTGGCTCGAAGGTCGGTCATTATAAGTATTATGGCTCTTGGGAAGATAATATCTAGCCCGTTTTGGGTGCGGGTGATGTATTAGAAGTGATTCGTGTGTTCGGTTCGTGTTTTGGAGCCTAGGGGTATTTTGGTAAAGTGGCAGTTCGGGTTTTTGTGGAAAACGGATTTTTTCGGAAGGTCTTAAGAAAGTTTGAGTTGTTAGAAGTGTAGGGCTTCTTGTCACCTTTCCGTGGATATAAGGATCGTCGGAATCGGGCTTATAACGAAGAAGTTATGGCCTTCGGAAGTTTTGTGGTTTTCAGGCTTAGCCGAGTACACGGGGCGTACTCAAAGTGTACGCGGGGCGTACTAGCAAAGAGGGTAGTACGCTGGGCATACCCTGGAGTACGTTGGGCGTACTGACCAGGAGGATCGCGAATGTTCCCCGGAGTACGCTGGGCGTACTCCAGTCAGATCAGAACCTATTTTAGGGTCTTGGACCCTATTTAAACTCCTTATCTCATAACCTAACCCTAATATCTTCAGCCTCCACCCCTCTAAACCCTAGAAATCGTCATATATCATCCATGGTGGCATTTTGAGCTTATGGAGTCCATTTTTGAGGTGTTTGACCCATTTTCAAGAAGATGAAGTTTGATGCAAAGATGGGAATCAAGGAGGAGCTTATGGATCTGGCTTTTAGGACTCATTCTCAGCTTGATGAAGGTATAAAGCTTTGAACTTGACCATTGAACGCTTAGATCTATTATGTTGAGTTTTTGGATCTTTTTGGTCCCACGAATGGACCTTTATGGTCCCAAATCCGTTTTTAGGCTTGGGGTTGCCACCCTTGATGCTATTTGAGTCCCTAAGGCAGAAAGTTGCCATCTTGATGGTCTTAATGGGTTCATGCTTGAGTTAGGGTCACTTTTATGGAAGTAGAATGCATTTTTGGAGTTTGGGTTTGTTTGGGGCATGCAAAGTCACCAAGTCAGTGACTTTATGGGTTTAGACGTGAAGTATAGCTCAGATCTGTGATTTGGACTTGTTGGATCAAGTATTAAGCACTTAATGGATGTTGTGCATGAGCTTGTTTGTACGTTGGGTGTACTATGTAGTACGCTACGGGTACCGACCATTGGTTCAGTACGCTAAGCATACAGAAGAGGTACGCTGGGCGTACGCTCTTAGGAGGACTTGGGCCTTAGTGAACTTCGGACCTTTGGGCCTTAATAGTTTTGGGCCTGGGCTTGCGGTTTGTTGGATCTGAATGTATCTTGGGCCAATATTGGAACAATTGGGCCTATTGGGCCTTGTGGCCCAATATATAAATGGACTTCACATTTGTGGGCCTCGGTTTGGGCCAATTCTTGGAATAGGTTGTTGTGGGCCTTCGTGGGCCAATTGGGTCAGGATTATTGACTAAGGAGAATATTGAGCATTAGTATAAGGTCCATTAGAAAGGTCCGCGCCCAATTTGGAAAATTGGGCCATTGATGGTTTTAGGGACATTATAATGTTGGGCTTTTGTTTTGGGTTTGGACCTTAGTTTTGGATCATATTGGGCCAGGGGTAAAATGGTCATTTTACCCCATGCATGGATTAAGGATTATGGTATGGGACCCAATTGCTAATTGGGTATATTGATTGGTAGTGACAGCTCGGGTAGCTGGCAGGGCAGCGGCTAAGGAATTCAGGCGGGAAGCTTCTGCAGTGCAAGGTGAGTCTTTTCTCACCATACTCATGGGTCTAAGGCGCCAAGGTCGGCCCATTATGTGATTGTGGTATATGTGTTAGTCATTCTGTGATTTGATATGCTATGTAATTGTGTGTTATTGCATGGAAGACCCCGGGGGGAGCCCGTGGCATTGGATGTAAGATCATGTGGGGTAGCCCATGACATTCCTAGGTAAAGACCATGTGGGGTAGCCCATGGCACAATGGTGTAAGACCCTGGGGGAGCCGACGACATCCTTACATGTAACGACCCGAAAATCCGTCTGTTAACGAAGTTAGTTTTTCGTTACTCGAATATTAGTTGTTTCAACTTTAAGATTGTAAAATGATGTAAATTAAATAAAAAGGTCATTAATTAATAAGTAAAAGATTAGCTAATAATTAAAAGGTATAAAAGTTAATTAATTAAATTGTGGGTATAGTTAGGATAGATAAAATCCTTTTAATATAACAAATAAAGTCAAGGGGGGTGAATCGTTATTCTTGAAAGTGGAGGAATTGGTGTTTTTACGTTTTGGGGTTCAAAGAGTAATTATAAGAAAATTATAGGGATCAAAGATGTAAATGCAATTATAAATCCAATCAAAATCAATTAAACGAATGTAATTGATTTCATTGAATGCGCAATTCGTCCGTTTCTTTCTTGGGGTTAAGCCTTTATGTTCATTAATTAGGGTAACGTTAAGAAAAACAAATCGTGCGTTCTTTTCCCTTCTCCATATATGAACACATAAAAAAACCGAACCTCCTTTGTGTGTTTGTGCGACATCGACAGCAAGAAGAAGAAGAAAAAAAAACAAATCGAACAAATTGTGGAGGAAGGAAGGATTGGTGAGCAAAGGGGAAGGAGGGAGGAAGAAGAGGTCTTGTTTGATCGATCCTAGAGGGGAGGAAGAGGGCTGTGTTTTTGGCCAAGAATTGGTAAAAATCATATTCTAATCTCTTTGTGGTGTTAATTTATCAATTCCTTGTTAATTGATAATTGTTGTGGTCAATTCTTTTTCTAATTGGTGGTTTCAATCTCATCTTCTTCTTCCTAGAAACCTTGAAGGTTCATATGGTTCAATTTCACTTTTATTGGGTGTGTATGATGGCTCAATTGCTGTCAAAATTTCTTGTGAACACCTTCATTAAGTTTATTGCTCAAGTTTATGTTTTGATCAAAGTTTTGGAGTCACAATTCTTCTTGTTGATTTCTAAAACTTATGTTAAATTCCACCATGAATCAAATGGATATGTTTCTGTGATTAAATCATGCTATTTCTGTTAAGAAGTTAATTTTTACCCTTATAGGTGTTTTTAGTGATGGCTTAATGTGTTAAGTGGTCAAAAAGCCTTGAAACCCAAAGCTGGAAAATTCAGCAAGAATTACCAATCTATCCCTGTGTTGGAAAAATTATAGAAAAATAATCAGGAATTGAATTAATGATCTGTAAACTCTCAAAGTTTCCATTTTGAGTCTAGTTTATCCATGAATTTTTCCAGAACCTGTTGTTGCTTCTAACTTAGGTGAAAATCGCCTTTTTCACCAGATGGTCAGAATTTAGCTGCATTGATAGGCAGATTTGTAAAAATCATATAAAATTGTAGAAAAATCGTTTGGACCTTTAAAAGTACATTCTGAAAAGCTAAAAGTCTTAACTTCTGTAATATGAAATAAAACCGAAATTTATACAGGTTCTAAGTTTGCTAAACTAGCTCTAAACAGGTGGCTGTTTTGGGTTCAAAACTGGGAATTTTACTTGCTAGTTGATTTATGTGTTTGGCTTATAAACTTGTCATCTTTGGCATTGTAGAACTCCAATAACCTTGTTATTTGAAATGTAATAGGGGCAAGGGTGATACTTCAACCAATACAATATTTGAAGTGTGAGTTGGTCATATTTTTGGCAAAGGTGAGTCAACTTGTGGTTTTAAAAGTACATTGGTAGGAGTATCCCATATCTTAGATGGATTGGGATGAACCTAGTTATCTAGGATGCATGTGCCCTTTTGATGATTGGTTGTTATGCAAATATTGTTGAAATGTTTTATGTGTAATGATATCTAGGGTGTTGCATGCTAGACTCTTCCTTGTTTGGTGTGAGATTTGAGTTAGGGTCATGCTAGATTGAGTGAAGTGAATGAACATTATGTGATGTGAGCATGTTAATTGTTGTTTGAGAATATTTGTTTAAAATGTTTTAGGACAAGCATGCTAGTGTTTTATAAACTTCATTGGTGTATTGTGTATGGAAATAGTGTGTGATGTAAAATGTAATAACTTCACGAAATTACATGTTTGCATGAAAATAACCCTTAAAGAGGTAATATGTTAATAAAAGAATATTCATAATAATTACATGGTTACTTGAAAGGGTAAAGTGTAACTCCTTAATTAATTAATCATTGTTAAATTAAAAAGGGGAACACACTAGCGGGGCGAAGGGTAGAAACCTAGACATAGGTAAATACCCAATCCGGATATTATGATGGCCTAGTGGGTTGAAAGATACCTATAGGAAAAAGCGCTTAAGCCAACTTTGACGCCGACTGGTTTTTCTAGACAACCACTCGGGACATGGTCTTGGTACACCTTGGTATACCGGGACTGGAGTGATGTGGTCAAGCGGTGGGACCAGCGCAAACATCACGTGGGATTTGGGAGGTGTATCTGTTGGTATTGGCACCGCTCGTACCAATCCTGAACGACAACGCATGTATACGTATGTGCACCGTCGGAGTAGCGAACGCAGCGCGCCGGGGGCAATGATTACGGGTGAGAGTCGCGCCTCACTTAGTGCATTGGGTCGTGCCGGTCACGTTAGTAGCGAACGGGGTCTAGCTTTGGGGAGGTTTTTGCGGTGAATAAATAGACCCTAACTAGGAGGTAATACTTTAATAATTACAACGATGAGCGGTGAGTGATTATTAATGTAAAGCGGAGAAACAAAATATTATATATTAATATTTAAGCGGTGAGATTAAATTAGTTACAACGGCGTTGAGGAGAGTAACTAATAAAACAAGCTCTAACTGAAGAACTAAAATAAATTGAGCTAAACATGTGTTTGTTATGTGGTGTGATGTTGTATGTCTTGCTAGTGAGT